AGCTGGTTTTGGTTGTCAGCAGCAAAACTGGTTGATCCACCCTGAGACGGTGCTATTTAAGAGACTGAGCTGAATACAGCTCCTCAGACTGAGGAAGTCTCTCGGATGAGAGACGAAACGTTTCTACATTTTTTTGTTGATTTGCTTTGTTTTGTTTTTTTGAATGTCCAGAGGACCAGATTTAACTTTTTTAGATTTTTCTACCTGGATTATTGAGCATGCATCAGGATATTCTGTTCCTTATCATGTCCTGCAGGGGGCAGTGTTGCTTAATGCAAAAAATAAATTAAAAGTTTGAGAACTTCTTGCTGATTTATGCTTCGCTTAAGAGTAAACCTGCTTCTTAATGGTGTCAGTTTCTAGTTAAATTTTTTTAGCCCTGTCTCAGTGGTCTGATGAGAGTAAAATAAACATAAAAAAGTTATTCTCTGAGTCAAAAAGTTCAGTGAATGACCCATTAGTAAAATAAACGTGTGGCGCCAGCTTCAACACTTACAAGTAAAAGTTTCTTTCAGCTGCTCGTCACAGCGTGAGAACGTTCATAGAAGATTTGGTAGATATTTTTTATGCTAAATGCTATTCCTGACGTAATCTGGGCTCGAACCCACAACTTCAAAATTAGGGATTAGAACCAAAGTACTGCAAACGTCAAATCTTCCTAATCTACATTTAGATTAAAGTTTTCTCTCAGTAATAATATTTTGTTTTGTGCAACCCTTATAAGTGGCCAGTTTTCTCTGCTGGCTGTGGTAGCGCTGGGAAATCCCTTCGTATAGCACGAAACTTGTGGATTCCACCTTTTATAAATATATGGCTGGAATTCCTGATGACATCACTCCAGACAACAAAAGAATTGTTTTCAAACGGGCACTGAAAAGACGAGATAAGACAGAACTTTGTTGATCCTGCAGGAAATTGCTGTGCCAGAGTTTCAGTCCAAAGAAACATACACAAGGAATCACACAAGATATAGAAAATAACAGAGAATATAAAAATACCAACAATATAACCAAAACCAAAAATGACCAAATTCTAACAAACTGCGGCTCATTTTGAAAATTCACCAGTAATAATAAGTAACTTCACATTGAAAAATTCTTGGTTGTGACTCACTTTGCCTGCAAGGGTCACATTTTTCAGAATAAATAATTAGTAAATCAAAAAAAGTTAAACGGCTATTAGGTAAGCTTTTGAGATATTGTAAACAAAATAAATAACTTGTGCTAACTTCTTGTTCAACTGATAAAATACAGTCTTTTTGAAGATGCATCACTGTAAACTGCAACACGTACCAATGTTTGTGCGCAGCTTTTATCCAAATTCATGTCCAGGTCGTTGTCTCGGAGCACTTTATTCTTTATGTCAGCCAGCTGGACCTTCAGCTGCAGTAGATGGAGCTTACGTTTTGGAAATACTTCAGTAATTATTGCAGTTTTAATATTTTGATCAGTGAGGACCTCTCCTGAGTTAAATGAAATGACATGTGGACCTGCCTGTTCATCCTGATCTTGAAAGAGTGAGAGGTTAAACTGTGTTGTCAGAATACTTTGAAGAACTTCCAGATTCTTCTGTTTTGTTGCGTCTGCAGGCACTGTGTGTGACTTCCGGCTGAGCTACGGCAGAGTCCTCAGCAGGCGCAGCAGGATCATCGCCGTCAACAGAGACGAGTCGCAGCTGCTGAAAAACTCCGACATGTTCTGGAAACCCACCGTAGCAATTCAGGGTACGTTTACCTCCTGCTGCTAGCATCCATCTTCAAGATCAGACGTGGGCAACGTACAACCCGAGGGCCAAAACTGGCACATGGGCAGTCTCCATCCGGACACCGAAATTCTTAGTGGAAAAGAAAACATTTTACGAAAACCTGCGTTTTAACAATGAAACTTAAGGACAAATAAAAACCTTTAGATTAAAACAGACCAAAATTTGACTTTTGTTTCCAGAACTAAGCTGAAACAAAGACTCCCAAAAGCAGATGTGTAAAGTTATTTATTTTTGCATATTTAGGGTAATCGTCACAAGAGCCAGTTTACAGTAAGTATGTCTAATATTCTTAAATCGTTTTTGGGGAGACATATTTTTATGCTACAAGTAAAAGCCTGAAAAATGTCTTCCTGATGATCTGTCTTGGAGAAAAACCTTCTTTCAGTTCTCTACGTGGCCCTGCGATTGCTTTAAATATCTTAACCTGGCCCTCTGGGAATAAACAAACAAACACTTCCCACCCTGTTCAAGATTATATTAACATTTTATGTTCATTATAAATACTAAAAACTATCTTTTTGTAAAAATAGTTTTTATTTGTGATTGCGTCTTAAAGTGTGTACATGCGTTTCCAAATTGTACCAGTGAAGCTAATCGAGGGGAAGCCTAAAGTAGCTGTTTTGCGTTTGTCAGGTGACGCTGGGTCATTTTTAGTTCGGCTTTCCAAGGGCCTGAAGGGCCATCGCTGTCCAGAGGAGTGGCCCCAGACCCTGAAGGCTGGAGATCTGACCAAAGAGAGCACCAACAGGTAGGCAGAGGTGGGGGGGCTCCGGTTTGTGTCTGGTACCACAAAATGCTTTCTGTGGTACAAAAAAGGTTAAATCACGTCATCTGGATGAGTTTCTTTTTGGGAGAAAAGTTTTGTCTTTAATCCAAAAGACTTCATCAGTCAATGAGGGCTATTGACAAGACGGATCTGGGTTGGCAGGCCACACGGACTGATGAAGTCTTTCGGATGAAAGATGACACGTTTCTCCCAAAATAAACTTGTTCCGATGACGTGATTGAACTTTATTTGTATTTATTTACCTGGATGATTGAGCTTACAAACCTCCTTCCTCGTGCTGTTTTTTGTTTATCCCAGGGCTAAAGCCGAGGAGAAGACGGAGCAGCACCTGAATCCTCTGAAAGTCCTCCACTGTGTGGACGACTTGCTGCCCGAGGACAGCATCATCGTTGCTGATGGAGGAGATTTTGTAGGAAGTGCTGCTTACATAATGAGACCAAGAGGACCGCTGCGCTGGTTGGATCCAGGTTGTATTACACAACAACAACAAACACAAACCCATTATTATACAGGTTTATCTTTTTTAATCAGAAGGTTAAAAGCAAACTGAGTGGTGTTGGGCTGCACGGCTGTTTTCAGTCCTGAAGTGAGTCCTCATCTGACTGCGCTGGTTTCCTCTAGGAGCTTTTGGGACTCTGGGAGTTGGAGGAGGTTTTGCTTTGGGGGCAAAACTGTGCCGTCCTGAATCTGAGGTGGAATATTGACACAGAAAAGGATTTTGTTCTAGGTGTTCTTTTGTTTTTATTTGTAATACCTTTGCACATGCTCAACAGGTGTGGATAGTCTATGGTGACGGCTCGTTAGGCTACAGTGTGGCAGAGTTCGACACGTTCACTCGACACAAGGTAAAACTCTACTATCCATCCATCCATTATCTTTACCCGCTTATTCCATTTTGGGTCACGGGGGTCGCTGGTGCCCATGTCCAGCAATCACTGTGCGAGGGGCGGGGTACACCCTGGACGGGTCGCAAGTCCATCACAGGGCCACATAGAGACAAACGAGACAAACAACCATTCACTCTCTCACTCACACCTAGGGACAATTTAGAGTTACCAATCAGCCTAACATACATGTTTTTGGACTGTGGGAGGAAATCGGAGTACCCGGAGAAAACCCACGCATGCACGGAGAGAACATGCAAACTCCACCCAGAAAGGCCCCTGGACGGGGTTTGAACCAGGGACCTGCTCGCTGAGAGGCAGCAGCTCTACCAGTTGCACCACTGTGCTGCCTAAAACTCTACTACTACCTCTACTAAATCCTTAGCACAGTTGAGTAGGCCTGTCATGATAACATTTTACCGGACGATTAATTGTCTCAAATTATTGCGATAAACGATATTATTGTTTGAAATTTGTCAATAATTAGTCATTATTGTCAAATTTAAGAAGTGTTCATTTGTTTTGAGTGTAGTACCTTTTTTTTTTACCATTGGATGGCAAGATAAGACTGGCTGAACTGAAGGATGGATAGCAAGGGAGCGAGCAGCGTGTCTGTAAGAAAAATGGGAGGGAGGCCCCTTGATGTGACATGAGCCGTTTTTCCTTTTTTCGGTTCTCAAAATGGCGGATGCTCGGTGTGGTTTGAGCCGTTTAGCATAGCATTTTTCATACAAAGCTTTTAATTAAAAAATCAGTAAACAAGTTCTAAGCTTCAACAAAAAAGGTTGAATCAT